AATAATTATTGGCCACGTGTGGTGCTTTGCAGGTGGTGTTGTGCACTGGTTTAGCAGCTTTAGTGATTAATTAATTTATAAATAATAAATCATCAATTTCTCAATAACAAATAATCAATTTATATTTCGTTTTCTTACGCATTCAACAATCTTTCTTTTTTTTTGTTGGCGTCTTTGGTGCTTTGGAGCTTGGTGCTATGCTCTGCTATGATGTGTGCTATTCTGTGCTATATGTGCTATGCTGTGCTATTCTGTGCTTTGCTATGCTGTGTGCTATGCTGTGCTATGCTATGCTGTGTGCTCTGCTGTGCTCTGCTGTGCTCTGCTGTGTGCAATGATGTGTGCTCTGCTGTGTCCTCTGCTGTGTGCTATGCTGTGCTCCGCTGTGTGCTCTGCTGTGTGCTCTGCTGTGTGCTATGCTGTGTGCTATGCTGTGTGCTATGATGTGTGCTCTGCTGTGTTCTCTGCTGTGTGCTATGATGTGCTCTGCTGTGTGCTATGCTGTGTGCTATGCTGTGTGCTATGATGTGTGCTCTGCTGTGTTCTCTGCTGTGTGCTATGATGTGCTCTGTTGTGTGCTATGCTGTGTGCTATGCTGTGTGCTCTGAGCTATACTGTGTGCTATGGTGTGCAGGATAAGTAGGCTTTCTTCTTCAGTGCGGGTTTGTTCATCAAGGCAAGTTTAGCAATCGTTCTTCTGTGTGAGCAAAGGCATCCCCCGCTTCCTGAGAAAAGCACCTTTGCTGCCTTTCTGGCATCATTCATTCATTCATTCATTCATTCATTCATTCATTCATTCATTCATTCATTCATTCAGCGTCCGCAGCCGCGATGGTGACTTCGGTACCGGATTGCACTCCCGCTGTGTGCCCCTGCTGAGGATTTTGAAATTGATATTGCCTGCCTGTGGAGGGCGAGGGAGAGGGAGGGAGGGAGGGAGAGAGGGAGAGAGGGAGAGAGAGAGAGAGGGAGGGAGGGAGAGAGGGAGAGAGAGAGAGAGAGAGAGGGAGAGGGAGGGAGGAAGAGGGAGAGAGGGAGAGGGAGAGGGAGAGGGAGGGTTGTTTACTACATATTAACTGCTATTCGACTCCCAAGTTTCACTCCCACTACCTCTCCCTCCCTCTCCCAATCACTAACAGCTGTGACGTGGAGAGACTTGTTGTCCCAAACTGACAGAGTGCGCACCTGTTATCAACAGCATTTATTTATTTATTTATTTATTTATTTATTAACCCTAGTTATACTGCTGACCCATCCTGCAAGTTGACGGAGTGCGCGTGTGCAAAGGCTATCCGCGGAGTCCTGCGTATTTATTTAGTTACGTAGGCTAAGTTATCTCTCCTTTTGTATTTTTAGTTTTATCGTTTTTTTTTTTTTTTTTTTTTTTTTTTTTTTTTTTTTTTTTT